GCACAGAGGTCTGCCAGCGGGCGCAGTGGGATGTGCTGGTCCTGTCACATTTATTTGGCCTCAGGGGAGAGTCATGGCACTTGGGTGATGGAGGTGGGGGGAGTGTCTTGCGGTCTTCTCAATGCTGAGCCTGAGAGAGACAGAGAGAGATACACAGAGTCACGGGAGAGAAACAGACTGAGACGAGGAAGGAGGGGCCACAGAGACAAAGGCCCAGCCCCCCTCCCCAGGTTGACTCCGCCCCACTTGCCTTGTTGAAGAAGTAGATGGAAGCCAGGATTGTGAACACGGCTATGGTCAGGGTTACATTCTGGAGATAAAAGGTCAGAGGTCAGTGCCCCTGCTCCCGTCCGCCCCTCGCCCCGGGCCTCCCTCCCGTCCGCACTCCAGCCCCTCCTCATTTCCTGGAAGTTCACGGCCATTGGCCTTCAGCAGCCTGATTCCCCGCCTCCCTGCCCTGCCCCAGGCCTCCCTCGCCCCTCCCCCCTTGGCCCCTCCTCACTTCCTGGAAGTTCATGGCCATTGGCCTTCAGCAGCCTGATTCCCCGCCTCCCTGCCCTGCCCCAGGCCTCCCTCGCCCCTCCCCACTCGGCCCCTCCTCACTTCCTGGAAGTTCATGGCCATTGGGCTTCAGCAGTGGACCCCCCTGGACCTCCCTCTTCCTTTCCTGGGCCTTTGAGCTGGAGAGTGTTGTTGTCCAGGAGACCAGAGTGGTGGCCATGGCAACAAGGCCCTTGTGTGATGAGGGAAGGGCATTGTGGGTGGAGGGGACCCCCAGGCAGAGCTTGGGGTGGGGGTGGGGGGGCTCTGGGTACTGTATGTCGCCTGGTGGCTGGAATCGGGATCGGAACACAGGAGATGGGTGCGCCTGGACCTCGAACACCACGCCGAGGACTCTGGTTCTTCCCGGGCCGGTACAGGAGGGACCACACAGAGTCCATTTCTGACGGAGCGGCTGGCACAGGCAGTTTGGGATCAGACGCTAACCTAAAGGTTGGCAGTTCGAACCCGCACAGCGGCCCCGCGGAGGGAAAGGCCTGGTGATCTGCCCCCATACACGTGACAGCCAGGGAAACCCTACGGAGTGGTTCTACTGTCACTAACCGGGGCACCACGGGTCAGGGGCTGGCGGGGTGGCTGCTGAGAACCAAGGGGCACCCCGGGTAACAAACATCCGACTTGTGGGCAACCCGCAGTCAGGAACCAACGCCCAGCCTCCTTAAAGCCTACTATGTGGGCCCACGGAGACTCGGGTTCGCTCGGCGCACAAGGACGGGTCAGAGTGGACACTCCGCTGCACCACTGGGGTCGTGTCTCTCCCGTGTGTCTGTGTGTCTGTCTGTCCCCCTGCCTCTCGCAGGCACAGGACTGAGAAGACCACAGGGCACTCCCCCCACCCCCGTCATCCAAGTGCCACGACTCTGGGGTTCAAACCCAAGAGGGCAAATGTCTCAGAGAATAACTTTGCACAGAGACCAAAAAACTGACCCGGAGTCACTCTAAAAGACGTGGAGTTTATTAGGGGATCTTACAGACATGTAGGAGCTCTGGTAGCCTATTGCCTAAGGCACTTGACTGCGAACCAGAAGGCTGGCGGTTCAAACCCACCAGCCACTCCTCGGAAGGAAGGTTGGGCAATCTACTTCCCTAGTGATACTGCCTCGGAAACCCAAGGAGGGGTCGCTATGACTCAAGTCAAGTCAATGGCAGTGACTTTGGTTTGGGCTTTGCTTCCAGTGGGTGTGGTTTGGGCTTTGCTCCCATAAAGACTGA